CGAGACACTTAATTAATATCTATCTACTTTGATCACATAGGACAGTGGTCCCCAACCCCCGGACCTGCACTTTGTACAATATATAAAAAATACAGGGTAGGAAAAAAAAAGGAATTCAGTGTCTAAGGGCTTGTTCACACCAATTGTGATGCGTTCCAGAGTGGCAGCTGCTGGAACGCACCACAATCGCTCACAAAACTTCCCCCTGCGTTCTGGGGCGTGGCAGTGCATTGAATTCAATGGCACTGCTTCGCCTTCCCGCCGCAGTGCGATCGGGAAGTGTGGCAAAACATTGCCTGCTCCCCCTCAGCGGGCCACGGTAAAATTATTAAACGTTGACCGGTCCGCGGCGATAAAAAGGTTGTGAGCACTGGTCTCGAACACTACTGATGAACAGTGCTCGCAATTCTGGGAATATGTGTACAGACAGTGATAGCTTAGGTGCAGTACAGGTTGACTTTTACCCCATGCATATCCAAGCACACCCTGCAGATGGAAAGCCATAAATAACCTAAACATATTCCCAACCATACACACTATGCTTGTTTCATCAGTTCTTGCATCAGAATTTATCAGGTTTTTCAGTAAATGGTACAAGACACAAATTGCTGAATGCAAAACGCAGTAACACATAGCACTCAGAATTCACTTTACTGATGTCAGGTGAGTACAAGATGCATTCTGGTTTGTTTCTATTGTTATTGTAGTATCATGTATGCACTTCCCTTCACTGTCTTATTAAAAGGAGAACTATGGGGTTAAGACTTTTCCCCATAGTTCTCCTTAGGGTAACGGGAGGACACAAACCAGGAGGACACAAACCAGCGTCCTCCCGTCACCCTAAGCTCAGTATACCACGAGCTACAGCTTGCGGTATACTGAGACACCGCAGCTGAAGCGGATCCCGACAATTATGTCTGGATCCGCCCAGCTGCATGAGTGACAGCTGGCTCTGCCTATCTAGAGGTCCCTCCCCCGCCCCCCTGTACCCGCTCCGCCAGTCAGCGCTGGAAGATCGGAGCGGGGAATCCAGCCCCTCCCCTGTCACGGCAGAGAGCCGTGACAGGATCGAGAGGTGAGCGAACGTCGGTATGTGTTCGCTCACTTCCCGATCTACTGAGCCGACCTGTGACAGTCTCATTGTCACATGTCGGCTAGAACTATGAGGTGAGTGAAAAGCTCTCCTTAAATAAGTCGGATCATTTATAGAACACTATGAGATTCAATGTCATTCTTTTCACATCCTCTTCTGTCCAGAAAAATGATTTCCTATTACCGCGCCCAGTAAACAAAAGCTAGTACTGAAAGCAGAAGTGTTACTCAAATGCACAGCACATTATAGCACATTATGGCAGACTTAACTGCAAAAGCAATCCCTCCAACGCTGCGCTCTTCTCTCACAGGCGCTTCCATGTTCATCCAGGCTCTGATTCTTTGACTGCTTGATTGGCCAGACCCTGATGACTTTGCTTCTGCATATGCACAGGGGAGTTACTACATCTAGGGGTGCAACTAATAACTAGTTTCATAATTAATTAGTTGGCCGATTTATTTTTTCGATGAATCGGATAAAAACTTAAATACCATCCTTAATTTATAACATACACAAATGCAGTGTTACAAACATAAAGTTTATTGCGCAATAAAACTGCATACACAATTTTTTTTGCAATCATACTGCACTGGAACGTACGGCATCGTGGTACCGTGCATTCCAGTGTGGGCGATCACACTGTGGGTGGGAGGTAGGTTTGTGGTGCCATTGAAATGGCACTGCAGCGCACCTCCCGCAGCACAATTTGTCAGGTCGAAACCGAAAAGGACTTTTTTCCCAGCTTTTTATAATTATTTTTTTATATTTGTATTGTAAGCATATGGCGCTTGAATAGCTTCAGCCAGGAAATGACAGCTGCCAGTGGCAAGATTCTGCAGACGGCAGCTGAATGTAAATACGACAGGTAGTGGGTGGGTGCAATAGCCAGCCTGCTATTGGCCATTTCACATTGCAATAGCAGGGTGGCTATTGCACCCGCCCATTGCTTGTTGTGCCCTCCTCCCAGTGTGGAGGAGAGAGCTAGGGGATCCAACCAACTAATCAATAATGAGACTAGTTGACAACTGTTCTCATTATCGATCAATTAGTTGGATGCAGCCCAAACTCCATCTTGTCATGCTGAGCCTGTTCACTGGGCTGCGCATGCCCGGCTCATTGTACAGGCAAAAAAAATTGCAGACAGGCACCAAAGCTTGCATGGCAGAAGAGACTTACCTAGTGTCTACTGTCTTAGAAAGATTGCCGATCGGCAATTCTTTATTTAAAAATGTAACTTCCTCTTTAATGTAGATGTAAAGACAAATGATATAATTTAGTATGTAGCTATATAATTTAGCTATATCATTTAGTATAAACTATATAATTCAACAACTCTGCTACTGCATTGTCTTCCAGCAAGAGCATGTCACCCCACGCTGTGCTCTCCTGAGAACTACAAGCTGATGGTCCAACGCACAGCGCAATGGCATGATTAGCCTATTATTCTGTTGTGAGACACAGCCACTGGCACTGCGCTAATCACTGATCTCAAGAATGGGAATAAGATATGAGCTGAGAATTTTCCTAGCCAACCTCCTTCTGAAAAATGTTTATCACCTGGCTTCAATAATTTCTGACCTAGAACAAGCATGCAGATCAGAGAAGTCAAAAACATAGGTGTGCCGTACTGCTCTGTGCAGCCAGCCTGAAGAAATGAATGACAGGCTGGCTGAAGGGTATATATGCAAATCCCATTGTTTACATGTGTACCTGGGCTTATGCACTGACCTGATCTCAGACGCTCTTTGTTCCTTGGCAGTACACAAGTCCTGGTACCCATGATGACAATGGGATTTGAGTATATACCCGTGCAGCCGTGGCTCCAGCCAGCCCGTCATTGATTTGTACAGGCATGCTACAGGCAGATTTACAACACACCTGCAACCTCTGGACAGAGTTAAGGTGACCATACACTCATTATTCCCCCATGCCAGTCTATTGCATTCCGATGGCAGCAGGTCTGCCGCTGTCAGAATACCCAGTGAATACAGCTGACTGTCTGCAGTCACTGTTAAGCTGAAATCTTTTGGATCGGCTCATTCAATAGAAGTTGACTGAAAAATAACTTTTGTCAAATGGGGAGGGGGGGACCCAACAGGGCCCAACACTGGTTGAATTTAGGCTGTCAGCAGGATTCCCCACCTCACAGCTATATGTCACAAAGGGGCAGGGTATGCCCCTCCGTAACTGCCAACACTGATTGGGTCAGGAGAAGGGGGTGGTGGTCAAGAGTTTTGAGTGGGCTTGGGTTAACTCAGGCAAACTGGATTTGCGCCAAACCCATTTGGCATGAGTTCGCTCTCACACACACACGTCTAGTGTGCAATGATCTGGATAAATGTTTTTGGTCAATGACTCAAAGCAAGACTGCCAGAGAACTAATATTTTCAATGTCAGCAATGGAAGCATTCTTAGTATAGATCACCTTTTAAAATCATGGTCCACGACATTCAAAATACATTTGAAGAGATCAGAAGGTTTTTTAGGGCACCTTTTATTACACACAATGGAAACTCCACCAAAACTGCAGCATCCAACCTACACAACTGTAACCTACATTTTTCTACTATACTTTAAGTGAGCTTTTCAATCTATGAAAATACACATGAAAGCCTGTCAAAAAAATGGGCCATCGCAACAATCTGAAGATGTCCTTCATACCATCCATTCAGAAACAACAGTTTGAAGATGCTCCCCATACCAACCATTCGGAAACAACAAATTGAAGATGTTGCCCAGGCCGAGCATTCGGAAACAACAAATTGAAGATGTTGCCCAGGCCGAGCATTCGGAAACAACAAATTGAAGATGTTGCCAGGGCCAAGCATTCAGACACAACAAATTGAAGATGTTGCCCAGGCCAAGCATTCAGACAACAATCTGAAGATGTTTAGCATACCAACCATTCAGAAATAACAAATTGAAGATGTTGCCCATACCAACCATTCAGAAACAATTATTTTCCTGTTACTCTTTACAGAATGAAACCAAACACTTGACTGGAGACTGTAGGGCACAGCCCTGTTTTGCATTCCATTCTTTTATTTATGTATACTAGCTTTTATACATTAGAAGTGGTATTGGGCATGTAGCTGCAATGTTTATAAAAACACACTATTCAAGGAAGAGAATGGAAACCCAATCAAAGCTTTGGACCACATCCAACCCACGTGTCTGCCATTTAGGTGTAACCACCCAGAAAATTAAATGTCAAAAGGGAAAGTATAGTGATGTTGTCACAATAGATACCTGAAAGATCAGGGTTATGTCCTTTTGTTGCAGCCAGCTCCTGCACTACACACTGCAGCAGAGCATGCACGGTACAATGTCAACAATGTTAGCGACCCATCAAAATAAACATATTTTCCACAAGATCCTTGACGTATAATATTCCAGTTGTGATATATTACTGATCATTACCAAACCCTATACTGTCATGCTGAAAGCCCTATTTATCTGCGCTACAGAGAGACCAACTGGGTGATTGCGCTGAACAGATGGCGAGTTTAAACTGTCGCATATATTAAAATGCTTTATTCTCTAATCAGCAAGCTGTACAGACAAACAACAGTAAAAAAAATTGTTTAAATAACCACTTCTCTGGAAGGTGACTCTTATATATAAATAGATGTGCATTTATAAACTATGACATCAATAGGAAACAATAATAAAAAATAGACTGACAAAAACACACAATACTACACAGGATAGGCAGGGGTCAGATTGAGGCAGAATTATTATCCAGTGTCCACTGATCTCAGTCTACATGTGGCACAGGCAACTCAGCATGATGTCCTAAGCATGCATTGTGCTTTACTGGTCCCTACCTTGAAGCTTAGTCATTAAGGCCATGGGTAAAGGTGATGAATGAAGATTATGGGAAGAGGAGATGATGATAAGAACCTACCTATTTCACGATGTGCACGTAGACAGCTGCACAATCAGCTTTAATATGGAGGAGGATGCTCCCCGGAGCCTGATTAGCTTCTTACTACGTATACAGAATGTGTTGTCAAGCTTAAAGCATCCATTGACAATGGGGTAGTCTTGTGTTTGGAGACATGAAGCATCTTATTCCTGAGTCACTGAATCCTTGGCTGTATCTTGATCGTCACTGGGAGCTGGGATTCTCTGCACGGTGAGCTTGCTGCTGGAGCATTGACTGAGGATACATAGGAGGATGTAAAGCATGCTGTGATTGGAGAGTAGCAGGCCCCTCTTCATTGGGCAGTGGCCGCTCTCCCAGCATTTCACTGCTTAGCCAGGCCAAGGGAAGGAAAGACAGCAAAGCGTTATTAAAACTTCTGGAGGACAAAAATCACCAGCATGCTCCACATCAATATACACACCAAGGAAGGCGTCCTGTACGCCAATTGTCACAGTGAAATGCAGCACCCCCGACATCAACCTAGATGTGCACCCGTCCTTTTTGGACACTAGATGGCGCTGTGCGTATGCAGTTGTGATCGCCGCTGCTCACATACGTTTATGGATCTCCAATGATACAGACAAAATATTATTATTATTATTATACAGGCAGGGCCTCCCTATAATGAGGCAGCCTGAGACGCTTGTCTTAGGCAGCATCTCATTAACTGGCAGCCACAGTGTCCCAGGTTGCTAAAAGCTCTTAGCCACCTGTGATGCTATGTCTGACTTCCCGCCCAGCTCGCTGACATCACCAGTTGCCAGGCGCTAAGTGGGATTCTGGCAACCAGTGACATCAGTGAACTGGGCAGGACACTGGTTCAATTAGAACATCCCCACACCATTCACTGACAGCAGCAACCCCCCTTTTCCAGAACCATTAACTGACAGCACCCAAACCCTCCCCCCAAACAACCATTTAATGAGAACATCCCCCCACCCACGAATGATCACTGCAAGCACCCGTTCTTTTTTTCAGTAAGGCAGCAAAAAACAAACACAGTTTTGATGCAGGAGGGCTTTACAAGTCCATCTCATAGAGAAACAAAGAGCTCTGAGCACCAAGCACCAGCCAGCTCACATACAGTATATAAAGGCCTGTGCACAGCTGAGACTAATAATCAGGAATGAGCTCAGGTGTGGGCAGAACCTGGACCAAACCTGAGCTCCTCCGAGCAACAAAGTGCCATTGCCACTTCCACCCAATTAGCTTCGGGCCCTGCAGCTGTATGTGAACAAAGGGGTGGATACTTGTGCTGATGTCATATACAGGTGAAACTCGAATAATTAGAATATTGTGCAAAGTTCATTTATTTCACTAATGCAACTTAAAAGTTGAAACTAATATATGAGATAGACTCATTACATGCAAAGCAAGATAATTCAAGTCGTGATTTGTCATAATTGTGATGATTATGGCTTACAGCTCATGAAAACCCCAAGAACCCCAAATCCACAATCTCAAAAAAGTAGATTATTACATGCAATCAATAAAACAAGGATTGTACATAGAACAATATCGGACCTCTGAAAAGTACAAGCATGCATATGTACTCAGTACTTGGTTTGGGCCCCTTTTGCAGCACTTACTGCCATTACTTTTGCATGATATTCTAATTATTCGAGTTTCACCTGTACCTAATATGGCCACATAGTCTTATTAGATAAAAGTAGGGCTGGTAATTATTAAAATTTTCCTGTTCGATTAATCAAATTTTTTAAAATCGATTAATCGACTAATTTCGATTAATTATAACGCACATACAGAGGGGGGTCTCACCAGAGCTTTGAGGGGGCCTCACCAGGGTAGCAGGGCTCTGTGGGGTCTAACCAGCCTTGTTAGAACAACAAGAGGGCGCAAAACTAGGTCAGCTGACTGCCTGGACCAAACATATCAGGGAAGGTGACAGGAACAATACATATATATGTATAATGTACTTACTTATGTGGGTCTGGGAACCAGATGTGAACCGGCCTGTGAGGAGGATCAGGATGTCCAGAATGTATGTTGAATGGCGGCAGCCTCAGGCAATATATCAGCCGCCATTCAACATACATACATTTCACATCCGATGCACTCATGAACCAGGAGACTCACCGGCCAAAGTGATTCCGTTCAGGTAACGAAGGGAAGGGGGAGGAGTCCGGTGATGTCACGGACATCAACGTCAACTGACTCCTCCCTCCTTCCCTTCGTTACCCATCAACAACTACATCACCCGACTCCTCCCCCCTTCCCTTCGTTAGCCGACATAGCCACTCGTGGGAGGGGGGGAGGAGTCCGGTGACGTCGATGTCCGTGACGTCACTGGATCTCCGACGGAAGACCCGGAAGCCGGCGGAGAGGTGAGTACTTTGATCGATCAAAATAATTTTGATCGATCAAAGAAATTAACGATTAATCGACAGATTAATCGTTAATTTCCGCACCCCTAGATAAAAGTAATTTATGAAATATAGGCATGTAGACATATAAGGTTATTGGGCAGCATGGAAGTAGCGTCCTTCTGTGTTCAGGAGAAGCTCCTTCCAGGTTTGAGGGAGGTCAGGTGCGTACTGGGTTCAGTCCGAACCTGAGCTGATCTCTATTAATAATGAGGTCTTTTTAACACAGGGGTGGCAACCCTGGCCCTGCAGCTGTGTTTTAACATGCCTCTGGGAGTCACCTTTGTAACTGGCAGTGTCGTAAAGCCTCATGGGATGTGTAGTTCTTCAACAGCTGGAGGGTCAGAGTTGCCCATCCGTGGTCTAGCAGGTGAGATGCGGATCTAGGAATGGAGGCGTTATCTCCCCAAAGCTCTACAAAGCCTTCGGGCTCCAGGACCCAGAACAGAATTTATTGAGATTTTGAGAAAACATAAGGTTTCCAACAAATACATACAGTATATACATTAATAATCTACATGTTTGATGAAAGGAGATTGAATCATTTCAGTTCATCCAGTCATTTCAGATGATGTTTTGCTTGCAAACAATTGTTTGACACAGCCAAAAAAGGATCAATTTTAATAGGAATTTGATGGGATTTTCCATCAGGATCATTTTTTTCCAGTGAAAGCAATTCCATGTGAAAATGATAATATAGCAAAACAGAGTTTTAAAATACAGTATCTCACAGAAGTGAGTACACCCCTCACATTTTTGTAAATATTTTATTATATAATTTCATGTGAAGACACAGAAGAAATTACACTTTGCTATAATGTAAAGTAGTGAGTGTACAGCTTGTATATCAGTGTACATTTGCTGTCCCCTCAAAATGACTCAACACACAGCCATTAATGTCTAAACCGCTGGCAACAAACGTGAGTACACCCCTAAGCAAAAATGTCCAAATTGGGCCCAATTAGCCATTTTCCCTCCCCAGTGTCATGTGACTCGTAAGACCCCGTTCACATTGAGCGATTTATCGCGCGGTAATTCCCGCGATATCGCGGCAAATTACCGCGCGATATCGCGCTCCAATGCAATCCAATGGGGCAAAGGGTCCTGCTGTCGCGGGTCGTGCGTCGCTACAGCAGGACCCTTTTTGGAGCGGATTTAGCCGCGATTCAAGCTTGCTCAATGCAAGCTTGAACGCGACATCGCGCGGCAAATCTCGCGATGTCGTGCAAAATGCAAATCGCGCGACAAACGCG